AACCATGGGGGTGGGCAGGGGCCCCTTTTGGGGCACTGCCACACCAAGATGAGCCTTCACACTGGCAAGGTGCCCGGCATCTCAGCGTGGCATCCACAGACTCCACCCCGAGGACCAAGGGTTCTGGGGGAGGAGGGTGCCCAAAGCTGGTTTGCACCCCCCACTTCTACACCCTGCTCCAGGTTTGGCTGGATCAGACCCCAAAATTGGGCTACTGGCCTTGCTGGTGCCAGTGGGCTCCGTGGCGAAGGGGCAGCTGTGCCGTGACGCCCAAGCCTGGGTGCTGAGTCCACGTTGTAAGGGTGCCCCACGCTGCTTCCCACCCGTGGGCTCCCTCCCTGCTTGGGCTCCAGATCAAAGGGGATGGCCAGATCCATCACACACCCTTAGCTGGGTGCCAACGACATGAAGGTCCCTGAGACAGGACAGACATCCTGGCCAAATCCCTGCCTGGGTTGGAGCAGCCTGGGTTCCCCGCTCTGCCTCCGCTCCCCAGCCCTCTGCGCTCAGCCCTGGGGGGAAACGGGAGGACCCCGGTCCCCGTCCCACCTGTCTCATGTGGATCTGGGCCCTCTGCTTGAAGACTGACGTGCTGGAGACATCGAATCGCTGCTGAAGGCCCTCCAGTTTCAGCTGCTCCATCTTCTCATAGCACGACTGCATCTTGACGGGGTGGAAGGCCAGGTGGGAAAGCTTCTCCATGTACTGGGGATAAAGCCAAGCTCAGCAGGGCAGGACAGCCTTTCCGCGCACTTGGGGCTGGGACATGCCACCCCACACCAGGCACGGCAGCCTGCACCACCACACGGGCTTCATCTCCATATATTTTCTCAGCCCAGTGCCATCCGCACCAGGGACGGCAGCAGGACTGGCCCTACCACCCCCAAGCCCACTGGCCAGCAAGAAGCATCGCCAGGTCTCACCTCCACCAGCTTCTCCAGGCCACCCTCGTTGACGATGTTCATGTTCATGTCCGTCACCTCCTTGAAGAACACCTCCCGCACCTCAGCAAAGCCCTGGCTTGTGGGGGTCATCAGGGCCTCCAGGATGGAGGAGATGTAGGGCTGGACGTGATTACGGACACAGACCTCCGCTTTGGGGAGGACAAATGCTGGGCAGAAAACAGGGGTAAGCATGGTGAGGCTCCTCCTCTGCCCTTCCAGCTCTGCAAATCAGGCCATAAACCCTCCCTAGGAAGGGGGACCTGCCCCTCTCCCCAGACCCCTCCAGGAGAAGTCTCCCAGACTTGCAGGACAATGCAAGGGGTTCTTGCAAGGGGCCCTCGGTCTGTATTGAACCCGTTCCTCCCCCTCTGCCTTGATGGGGGGTCACTGCCCACCTTGTCCCCCACCTCCTGGAACAGTGCCAATGAGGACATGCCCCCTGGCCCCTGCGGCTGCTGGCATCTCCCCAAGGCTCCCCAGGCTGTGCCAGCAGGAGCCACACTGCACGCTAGGAACAGCCACACCTTGGTGAAACAGTGGTGATGCCACGCCAGGAGCCGGTCACGGACACAGCTACACACATCCATGTCCACGCATCTCCCCGCAGGGCTGTACCTCGGATCTTGCTGGCCAAGTGCTCCTTCGAAGTGATGATCTGGTCCATGTCCGTGCGGATGGTGCCCTCCATCTGGGGCCGCTCCTGTTCGCACTTGGCCATCTCTGCATCGTACTGGGCCTTGGTCTGCTCATAGACCATCCTATAGACGGCATCCGAGATCTGGCGAGAGAGAGATGGGACGGGCCCCCCCCCCCCCCCCCCCCCTGCCCCCCCCGCTAACCATCGCCTCCAGCACCAGACGCCTTCAGGACCTGCCGAGCCTTCGCCCATGCCCTGACTGGACCCCTCCTCGCAGCCTGGCAGTAGGTTTTCCACACCAACTACCCCCAGCTGGCTGAGATGAAGCCCCCACGGTGGAGAAGCTGCTTCGAAGCGATTCCCAAGGGCCACAGAACTGAGCGCTGCCTCCATCAGCCAATGTGGCCTTGGCAGGTCTGGGGATGCTGCAGGTCTGGGGATGCTGGATGTCCAGGGATACTGGTGGTCCAGGGATGCTGGCAGTCCAGGCAGGAGAGCCTCTGACCCCGTTTGAAACCTGTTCAACCTGCCTGGGGTCTCAGGAGCCAACCCCATGACCGGGATGGAGCCGCTCGCTGAGGCTTCACACTCTGCAGCCAAACACCACGATTTCGGGGCCGGCAGGAGGCAGAGCCGTCGTCCCCCACCCCTCGGGTTTCCCAGCTTTGCAGCTAAAACCGCAGCTACTGAAAAAGCAGTGTTTGTGCATTTTTAGGCTGTTCCAGTGGTACATTATGAGCCTGGTGGTAATTAACTATTGGCTTTTAAGGTTTTAACAGGCAGTTTTGAAGAGCCCTCGGACTTTCGCAAGAGTTCGGGCTGGATTTAGCCTGTGCTGCTCTAAAAATGGCTCGCTAAATATATCCAGGATAGGCTTCACTCCGGGGCTGGGCTTCCTCCTGTTTGCTTCCCTCGCCCCAGGGACGAGGCAGCGCAGGCAGGGATGGGCAGGGCTGCTCGCAGAGGCACAACAAGGAGCTTTAAAAAGCCGCAGTGGAGAATAAGGACGGCTTCTTTGGCAGAGGCTGGGAGAGGGGGCGACGCGGGGGGTGGCGCTGGCTCTGACAGGCAGGAAAGCCAGTGGGCACCGAGCCTGGCAAGGAAGGGAGGTGGGAGCGCGGCCCCCCCCCAAGACGAGC